CACAGCACAGGGCCTCAGGAAGCGGGGTTGGCCTCAGGGGTGTAAAACTATTACTGGTGCTGGCTCAGCACCACAGACAGGGGTGCATGGATCAGCTCCCCAGGGAGGCTCAAAACCTCCATCCCAGCATCAGGGGGATTTGCACGCCTAAGGTTTTAAAGGAATGAAAAGGGAGCCCACGATGAGCCTCTCAAAATCTCCTCAGCCCACGCCCAGCACTTGGAGCTGGGGCAGGGGAATGAACCCCCTAGCTCAGAGGGGTCCCAGTCATGCAAGATCCAGCAGGGTTTGGAGAGAGGATGGATTCTGCTGGAAAGTGGGAGACGTTAAACGGTCACTCGCCACAGGCAGCTCTCACAGCTCTCAAGTGTCTCCAGGCTCGCTAAGCAAATAAAGGCAAGTCCAGCCCAACAAAACAAACAGGACTCTGACACGTGCAAATCTCCTGCTTCCCTAGCAATCCCAAGGAATCCCACACACCCAGGGCGCTGGGATGGGGCTGCAGGGGGATGGGGCGGCCAGCACCGGCTGCCCGCCAGTGTCCGGAGAACAGGCACGACAGTGTGTTCCCGGCCTGCCGGAGAGAAATCCCTTTCTGCCTGTTCCGGCTTGGCTCCCATCCCGCCCGGCATCTTCCCACCCTGCCTGGTGGGTGCCTGGCCGGCGAGATGTCTCCAAACCCACTTGCCTTTTCCACTGGGCCCTGCCCCCAGCCGCAAGATTTCCTGCTGATACCTGTTGAGAAACCGTCCTGGGGCCTTGCGGTAATGTCACCCCCTGTCACCCCACGTCGCCCGCTTCCTGCTCTTGTGAACAGAGAAACCGCCGGGACTAACTGTGCACGGGCTGTGCCCCGAGCCCGCTCCCCAAGCCTGTGAGCATCTCCAGTGAGCATGTAGCCCCCCATAACACGTCAGAGCTCTGTTCCCCACATCCTCAGGCCCCCAAGCCTGGCAGGGGGCTCACTCGAGCTGCACTAACTACATCCTTTTTATCTTTCCCAGCCTGGGAGTGGAAAGCAGAGCACAGACGGTCTCGCTGGCCCCGAGGCAGCGCTGGCACTGTGACACGCAGGAGAACAGGCACGCTGCCCCTGCGTGGGGCAGCACCACAGCCCGGCACAGGGCCAGGCCAGGGGGACATGGGATGACACAAGGGACAGTGAGCAAGAGGAGCAGCACAGGGGCAGAGCCTGGCTGTTCCCACCTGAACAAGCAGATCAAGGTGGTGCTGGAGCAGAGCTTTAGCCAGGCAGGGATGAGAGCCATGCCTGCAGTGGATCAGCCCGACCAGGGGCAACAGGCAGCTGGCACAAGGCTGAAGACCAGCCAGACACACAACTCAAAACCACCTGGTCCTAAGCAAAAAGCCCTTTATGACAACAGCTCAGCGAGGCACCAAGCCTGGGGCTCAGTGTCTACACCGAGAAGGCTCCTTTGCACCAATCTCTCCGGGAATGGGTCACAAGATCTCCCCAGAAAGGTTCCCCACGCTGGGGACACCAGGAGGCTGCCTCCCAGGAAGACCATCCACATCTCTGTTGTCACAACAAACACGTCTTTGCTGGGTAAACAAAAAGCAGCATTATCTCCTGCTGCCCAGATCGTTTCTTAGGAACAACTCGGGGCAGGAAAGGTCAGCTATTTCTCAATTCCTCACCTTTCTACATCACTTTGTTTGTGCAACTGTTAACTCCCACACACACTGAAGGCCAACATTCCTGAGTATCTGTACATGGGGTCTGCCTATCAGGATGAGTCCTACAGTCCGGGAAGGGCTCCACTATCTCCACTCCACAGCAGAGACCGAATATGCTCAGGGCAGGAGTGACTACCACCAAACCTGCAGTCACAAAAACAGCCTACAAAACACACTCTGCCACAGCTTTTTCGTTGTATTTTGGGGTCGGTTAGTGCCAGCCACCCTCAGCTAAGCCCTGGGCTCACCTACACATCAAAGCTTGCCCTGTTGCTTTCCTCACCCCGTTTTACCGGCCCTGCAGCATCAGGACGGGCCGAAAGGCTCCAAGACACAACAGGCTGCTCGGTTATGGGTCCAACCAGCCCGGTGTGCCTGCCTGCCCCCGCCCGTCACCAGCACGGCTGGGAGAGAAGAGCATCAAGCAAAAAAAAAAATTAATTTAAAATAAAAAAGGCAAAGCAGCCGGGCGCGGTAGGGCCCGGGGCTCCTGGGAAGCCGTGTTTAAAGCAAAGCAAAAGAGAGAAAGAAAGAATCGAGACCGAAACCAGACACAGCGCCCGCGGGAGGCCGAGGCAAGATGCGCTCGCTCCAGGGCTAAAAGGTGACGACCGGGGTCGGTCCCGGGAGGTCCGACCTCCCCTTCTCGGACAGCACCCGCTTTCCCGGAAACTTTTCCGAGTCCCAGCCCCCCCGGCCGCCCGTTTACCCGCTGTCCGCCGCCGTTGGGCTCCCGCGCCGTGGGCTCCGCCGGCACCGGCACCGGCACCGGCACGGGGTCCGCCTGCCCGCCGCCCACCGGGGGCTCGGCACCCGCCCCGCCCCGCTTCGACAGCTGCTCGTCGGCCGTCGAGTCCACGACGAGGAGGCTGACGGCGCCCGCGGCGGCGCGGATCCGCTCCACCACCTGCTGATGGCTCTCCCGCTCCACGTTCTCGCCATCCACCTCCAGCAGCCGGTCCCCGGCCCGCAGCCCCGAGCGCTCGGCCGGCGAGCCCGCTTCCACCAGCCGGATGAACTGGCCGGGCTTGCCCTTCTCGCCGTGCAGGTGGAAGCCGTAGCCGTCCGGGCCGCGCTCCAGGCGGCACAGCCGGGGGGCGGCGGGGCCCGCGCCGCTGCTCATGGCGGGGGGAGCGGGCGGAGCTGTGGCCGCCCCGTCTCGCCGCCCGCGCTCAGCGAACTGCGCGGCCCGGGCCGTGCCGCCCGCGTTATATACGGGGGCGGGGCGCGGGGCGCGGAGTGGCCAATCGGGGAGCGGGACGGCGAGATGGCCGCCAAATAAGGAGAGCGCTGGGGCGGGGATATGCAAATATTGGGGGTGTGGTTATGCAAATCTACACCGTGTGGGTATGCAAATGTCTTCTCGCCCCGCTGGGGCGGCCCGGGCGCGGCACCGCCGGGTCCTGCCGGACCGCTCCCCTGTGGGGTCCGACCGCTCCTCCATGGGAGCTGGATCGACTCCCCGTGGGGTTCCATCTCTACCGCGTGGGAGCCGGACCGCTCTCCTGTGGGGTCCGGCCGCTCCCCCGGGAGGTTCCACCGCTCCCACTCTGCCTCTCCCTGCCAGCCACCCGGGCCCGCCGCGGCAACCCCCGCACTCCACTGAGCTCCCCGCTCTGCGGGTCGACTCTGCCACCCACCCGGGGACAGTCCCGACTGGCTGGGGCGCTCCCCGTTGTCCCCACTCCGCCCGCAGCACATCCCGGGTGGCACACGTTGTCCTCTCGGAGGCACGTCCGCCCCATTCCCTCGCCCAGCCCTCGAAGGCCGATGCCGGCCCCAGTGCTGCTCCGAGGCAGAGGGCTGGAGAGATGCTCAGAGTGAATTAAAACCCCAAACCAAAACCGCGTGTGAAGGCGGCCGGGGAGGCCGTGCTGGCCGGTAACTCCGGTAACCCGCTGTGCGGTGGAAACGGAGCAGCCCCGCTCCCCCAGCAGTCTCTGAGTCCCCTCGGCACCCTGGAGCTGGGGGCCGGGAGGTGGGAAGACAGAGGAAACCCCAGGGGGTTTGCACTGCCCTGGCTCCATGTTCTCTGCTTGCGGGTTGGGAAGCAGAAGTGGCTGCAGTGGGTTATGAGCGTGTGAAATCCTGGGGTTTGGGGTCAGCCAGGGCAGAGCAAGGCAGCAGCAAGCCTGGGCTGCTCCAGCACTGCAGCAGGAGTGCTGGTGCCAAGCAGAGCTGGCTCCTGGAATTGTCCCAGGGAGGGTGGCACGGAGCTATGTTGGTGTCTCCCACTGCTGGGCCTGGCTGAAGTTTCACCTGGCCAAAGGTCCCCAGGGCAGCGGGGATTGCATTTCACTGAGATGGGTGCCTGCCCTTGGGAGACATCCCTCAGAGGGGACTCAGCTCCAGACCCCTGCTGAAGGGACCTCAGTGGCTGAGGAACCCCTCATGTGCTCGGGGTGGCCATGCTCCAGCTCCGTGGGACCCAGCTGGGAGCCGAGGGTGGGCTCATTTGTTTCCTCCACTCGGCTGAGCATTTGCCTGCGGCCGCTCGGCCCTGAGAAACGTGACAGAGAGGAATCCCACGGCGGCCAGAGGCAGATGCCTGCAGAGAGGAAAACCAGGGCAAGCGTGTTGTGGTACGGCCCCAGGATGGGGGGTTCTATCACCCGTGTCACAGCCCTCGCCTTGGCAAGGGGGTTGTGAGCAGCACAACCTGATTGTGCACATTCAGGGGGGAGATGGAGGTACCCTACCCCAAGTCAGGAAACAAAACCCAGCTCCAGCAGGGCTGGTTTGAGCATGGGACCGTGATAAGGAGGAAAGGCGGCAGCAAAGGAAACAGCTGGGGTTGCTTTTGGGTCCAGCAGTGCCCGCAGGATGGCAGGGCACAGGCAGCACCGTTGCACCCCAGCTGCCTCCTGCCCTTTGCATCTTGCCGTGACGTTAAAGGAGTTTAGGCTGGAGGGGGGAAAAGAGAAAAGAACCAACGTCTGTTTGTGTTGAAGCCATCCAGCATTTTTTGCAGACATCAGCCAAGCGGCAGCAGCAATGCCATTGGTGGGAAGACGGAGTTATTTGGGGAATGCTGGACTCCGCACCATGAGAACAGCAGGGGAGGAGGTTGGTTTTAATTTAACAGGCCATGTTTACTCTTCCCCTCTCACCTTTGGACTGTCTGAAATGTGCAACGAAAGACACAGTGGGGCGGAAGGGGCTGTGGGTGCTTCCCCCTCCCCACGGCTGCTCCCACGGCCCCACGGCCCTGCAGCTCTGCAGCGCCTGTGTGCAGCAGCCTCCCACGTTGAGACCCAGGGCAGGGATTTCTCATGAAATAAACAACCAGACAGATGCAAAGCTTCAAAAATATTCAGCTTTAATCTGTAAACTTGCAAAGAGAGACCCAGGAGCAGTGCAGAGGCAAAGGAGGCACTGGGGCAGGTGAGAGATGAGCAGCTCAGGCGCAGGGCCAGGGAAGGTGCTGGCGGGGACAGATGTGCAGGACAGTCCCCAACTCCTACGTGCAGCAGTGCCATGCCCTCCACAGCTGCTCTTCACATGAGTGCTTCAGCTGCAGAACCAAATATTCACCATCTGACTGCCCTGGGTAGTGCTCAGGGGAGCAGGCAATGTGCTGGAGGGGCCAGCAGTGCTGGGCTGAGCATCAGGGATGTGCAGCAACACAGAGGTCAAGCCTTGCCCCTGTACCCTGCTGATGCCCAACAGAGCAGCATTTGCTGGCTGGAGGATCTCAGGCATCTGCTCTCCAGAGAGTGGGTTCCAGCTGCTGTTTGCCAGCAGCAGGAAGGAATAGTTGTGTTACATGGGCAGCGATGGGAGAGAAACCCAGCCCGGTCTGGGAGCCAGCAGGGCTGGAGCATCACCTCAGGCCACAGTGAGCATCTCCTGCGTGGTTTAGTCTGGAGGGATTGAAAATAAAAAGGCTTTTCTTTAAAAAAAAAAAAAAAAATATATATATATATATATTATATTCCTCTAATTCCCATGACTACAAGATGGGGAAAAATAAAGTTGTTTTCAAATTGCTTTGTGTACTAAAATGCCCCGAGCATCATTTGGGTGCTCCCAGGGAAGTTTTATTTCTTATGATAGCTGTATGGGCCAGGAGCAGGTTTGGCTGGACCCTTCCCCATCCCAGCCCTTCCCTCGAGCAGAGCCAGGATACAATGAGGATATCACTGCCCTCATGGTGGCAGGAGGATAAAAGCCAATGGCAGCAACTGCAGCAGAGAGGAGCCACAGCCAAATGAGCACTGGGGCGTGGGGCAGCCCGGGGGGCAGAGCCGAGGATCCTTGGAGGGAAGCCAGAGCCTGGCAGCACCAGGGATGCAGGGGCTGGATCAGGCCCTTCCAGTCAGACAAGAGCAGAACCGAGAGCAGGGATGGCTGCAAGGGAGGAGAGGGCTGGGGGCTGCAGGGGGGCTTGTCCATGGCACACACACTGCCCCTCCAGCCGCTCCAGGTGTCGCTCAGTGAGGTGTGTGGCTGTGTCCGGGGTGATGGAGGCATCGCCGTGGCTCACTGGCAAGGCTGGCAGTCACCACACCACAGCGATTCCCACGGTGGCACGCAGCAAGCTCTGGGCATTGCTCCACAGGGCTGCAGGATCTGGCCCCTGGATCCTGGAACCAGGGTGAGGGCCCTCCTCATGCCATCTCTGCTGCGCTGTATTGTCCCATCCACCTTGGCTTGTCAGACCTGGTTCCCTCGGGCGCTCGAGGGCAGGATCCGGCCCCTCTCCATCTCCTGCCTGTGCCCCCGGGGCTGCTGGCTCCTCCTGGCCGCCCTCAGGAGAAGGCACAGCAGCTGGATTTCTTCTTCTGTGACTCGATGTAGTCGTGGATCTGGAAGCGGGGCTCCTCCAGCGGCTGCATCGCTCGCTGCTTCAGCTCCCTGGAGTGGTTGGGCTGCGTTACCCCCACGCACACACTCCAGCATCAGTGTGGGAGGTGATGGGGCTGCAGGGGACACCTCCCTTGCTTGGCCCCCTGGCCCCAGGTACTCACTTGGCAATGGCCAGGAAGGCCAGCTCCACGTTCATGCCTGTCTTGGCGCTCGTCTCCATGAAAGGTACCCCATATTCCTGCAAGGGCAGCACAACCCCATCAGTGGCTATCACCAAAATGCCCTCCTGCCCCTCTGAATCACCCCTGTTGCCTGGCCAAGGCTTGGGGGCCATCCTCTCCCTGCCTTCTCCCAGGTTTTTTGTCTAAGTAACTGCTGTGCTGTTTGCCCGAGAGGCAGGTGGGTCTGGGCACCCATCAGAGGGGATGGCACAGCTGTGTGGGGACCCTGAGTGACAGACAACTGACTGGGGGATGAAGTTGGGTTAGACCCTGGTACAGCTCACCCTGGCCAGTGATGCTCCATCCTCTGTTCTCACAGCCCTCTCGCTGCTCACATCAGCCTGCCAAGGGAAGGAAAATGTCACCACATACCAGGCCAGCTGGCACCCTGGGGCATTTGGCAAGCAGGCAGTGTGGGGTGCTCAGGGGGCTGATAGGAATGAGGGGCATGAGGGATCCAGCAGCATCCAGTGACCAGAGAATCTGGGATCTGTGGAACATCTGGGACCTGGTGGCATCAAGGATGTCAGAGGGCATCCAGGACCCTGGAGACACTGGGGACCTGGGGCAGCATTCAGCACCTGGGGGCATCCAGGACCCAAGAAGCCTCTGGTACCCTGTTTGGCATCAAATACCCAGCATCATCCAGAATCCAGAGGCATCCAGTTTCAGGGGGAAATCCAGGACCCAGCTGGGCATTGGGCACCCAGTAACATCTTGGACCCCCGGAGAGGATCTGGGACCTGGTTGGGCATTTGGGGCTCAGAGTGACCTGGGATTCAGGAGTGCATCCAGGCCAGAATGGCATTCCATACCCTGCAGCATCCCATGCTGGGAGCATCCCGTACTGGGAGCCTCAGCCTCGTGCTGCCCCCCACTGGTTGTCAGGAACTCTGGCCACCCCCGGCCCCCTCCAAACCTCTGGGGCCACCTCTGGGCCTGGCTGAGCCCAGGAAGCAGCAGATCCCAGCAGAAGATACGCACAGCTGGCAGGCAGAGCCCACCGAACCCCATCCCTGCACAGCCATGGGGATGGCCCGGGCATGGCACAGCACCACATGGCAAAAACCCGAGTGAAGGGGGACCTTGCACACACCTTATTGCCCAGCAGCATGATGACCACATCCTTCTGGGCGTACTCGTGGATCTCTGTCAGCCAGGCCTGCAGGGAAGTGGGGCTGTGTCGGGATGAGAGGTACCTCCGTCCCTCCTGTCTCAGCCCTTACACCCCCATGGTACCCCTGTTTCTCCCTCCTCAGCCCTCACATCCTCTTGGTAATCCTTGCCCCTCCCCTCAGCCCTCACACCACTCCACGAGGACAGGAATAATGACCATTTTGTTGGCACGGGAACTTATCCAACATCAAAGCCAAACAGCCCTGAAAACGCCCCGTCTCCTGGCTACAGCCCAAGCCTACCCGTAGTTCACATCCTTCCCAAACAGCATTTTCTCCCTCCAGGCATTCTCCATGTCCCTGGACAAAACTCACCCAGCCATGCAGGACCCAGCCAGGTGCCCTGGGACGAGCTCCCAGCTGGCTGGGTCTGGACAAAACAGCAGGCACTTATTTGTAAAACATGTTCCCAACCGCCCTAAACACCCAGCCAGCCGAGCAGGGCACCCACGACCCCAATCCCTGTGGGGGGACACACTTCCGACCCACAGGGGGACTCACGCGGATGTTGTCAAAGGACATCTTGCTGGTGATATCGTAGAGCAGGAGCAGGGCTGGAGGGGAAGAGGCAGAGGCATTGTCAAGCTGCAGGGATGCGTTCCAGGCAGTTCCCCCATCGCTGCCGGATCCCAAACCCACCTTGGGCATCCCTGTAGTAGGCGTGGGTGACGCTGCGGAACCGCTCCTGTCCTGCCGTGTCCCAGATCTGCCGAGAAGCCACCCCAGTGAGAGCAGGGAGGGGAACCTCCTCCCCAGCTGGGGATGACTCTGTGGATCTGTGCCCCAACAGCCCACCACGCTCAGCCTGGGGGAAGTTTCCAGCGATGTGGCTGGGAATTGCTTCCCCCTCCCCAAAACTCACCTGCAACTTCACCTTCACGCCGTCCACGACCACCACTTTGTTCTGCAGAAGAGAAGGAAGAGCACATTTATCAGCCCAAAGCATGTCTTGGCGCACCAGCCAGCCCTGGTGAAGAGCTGGCACTCCTCAGCCCCTCAGCTGCTCTCCCAGGGCCAGTGGGATGAAGCCAGGCTGCCCATGGGGATGGATGTTGCAGCCTAATTGCTACAAACCCTGATCCTGCTTGCTTGGCAGCTACAGGGACATCCCAGAGCAACAATCCCTCCTTCCAGAGCAGAACAAGCAGAGACAGGACAGCAAGATCCCAACTTGCTTTGGTTCCAGCTCATCTCCTACAGCCAGCACCCTGTCCTGTGTCCAAAGGAACCAGCTCTGTGCTAAAAATTTGGGTTATTTACAGCAATTTAAGGGCTTTGGATGCTACAAGCTTCCTGGGGACACTCAGTGGATGATCTGGGTGTTCTGCTCAGGTTTCCTTGCTGGTGGGAGCCTTGCTTGGTCCTCAAATGTGGTTGCAAATACTGAGCTGGGGGGTTGCATGTAGCACACGGCTTTATCCAGCGTGGCAGGAGGAAATCTCCTGGGTCAGGATGGTTTGCAGCCAGGCAACTGGGCTGGGCTGGGAAAGGGAAGAGGCATTTCCATGTAAGCAGGGAAGGCAGCTATCAGGGCTTAAGCAACAGCTCTACCCAACTCGTAAGCACAGGGACTTCTCTCCAGAGGCCAGAAGAAAGAAACGCAGAAGTTACTGAAAAGCTATTTTAAGACTCTGGAAGAATCGTACTTGGAGGGATGAGTCTGAAAAGAGAAGACCCCTATAAATAATTCGGTTGCCTGGAATTGTTTGAAATGGAAATTCAGCCCATGTGGAGACGACAAAACTTGAGCAAATGGGCTGGATAAAACAAAAACGTGCCCTAGGAGACTCTGGGGATTTCCTGCCAGCAGTGAGCTGTGAGCTGCTGGAGGAGATGCTTGCACAAGGCAGGGCAGGTACCTGAGGGCTGGCAACACCATCAGGGACACCAGCACTGAGCCCAGCAGAGGAATACAGGAGATTTTCCCTCTTTCACGACTTTGTCAGAAGGACAGATCCGACAACCCCTCCAAAGTAAACCCACAGCCCTCTCTCTCCCCCAGGCCCTGCTCACCCAGCCCCCAGTTCCACCACAAGGGGGGAAACCAGAGCAGCTGCCGCTGTGGGGGCAGGGGAAGCAGCGACCGCACTCCACACGTGTCAGATGTTGCAGGCAGAGCCCTGCCTGGGGACGCCCCTGTGACTTCCAGCCTGCTGAAATGCTCCTCTGCCCTGTGCTGCAAACAGCTCTGCCTCCCTGGACACCTCCAGAGAGGCCCTGCAGCTGAAATTTGGTGAGCAGGGAGCAGCACGGGGGTTTGAACAGGATTTGTTCAAAGGTGATCTTAAGAACTACTCAGCAGCCCATTTCAGCCCTTTCAAAGCACAAAGTTAGGACAGCCAGAGTTGTTCCCGCCAGCCCCTGGCCTCAGCCCAGCTGGTGGAGCAGGCTGGCCGCCCACTACACCCCCAGCCCACACATCCAGCCAGGATGAGCTAAACCCAGGCTGCCTGCTGATTTAAAGGCAAGAGGTGACAACACCAGTGGGCTCTTCTGTCTGTTACTGCTCTCCAAGGGAGAGGTGGAAGGGTTTCAGCAAGTGCCTGCTGCTGGTTGGGAGTTTATTTGGGGTGCAGAGGCTGGAAACCTCCTGTTCCCCCTTCCCAGCACTCCGTCCTGGTCGAGGTGCGGGTCGGGGGAAGCAAGGGGCTGGCAGCTGTGGTCTCACCCGGAAATCTATGCCCACGGTGGCTATGAACGTCCCGGAGAGAAAGGCCCCGTCTTTGAACTGGAGCAGGAAGCAGGTTTTCCCCACGCCCGAGTCTCCAAGCAACATCACCTGGAAGATGCGCGCAGGGAGAGGTGTCAGCGGGAGGGGGCAGCACCGCTGAGCGGTGCTGAGCAACCCTCCTAGACCCTTCTGCCCCTTTGTTTCTTTCCCCAGGGCTAGTCCTGCCGGGTTTAGGGAGCTGGGGGTAGGACGGGACCCCCAGAGGTGCAGCCAAGCCGTGCCCCAGGGCAGCAGAGCACCCACAGCCACGGAAGAGCAGGAGAGCAGAAGATGAGATCTGGCGGGAAGGTAGGTACCGCAGCAAGAAGAGATGTTTCCCAGGCAGCCCCTGGCCACCTCCCCCCTCAGGAGGCTCCCGGAAAACCGGCAGTATCTCCCAGATTCATGGAGCCACCTCCGCCCACGCTTTGCCCCTGGCCCGGGTGTGCCCAGCCCGAGGGTTGATGCATGGCTTGGGCAAACCCTGCGTGTCCGGGACTCTCTGTCTGTGCCCAGGGCCCGGCCTGCTGCAGACACCAAAGCAAACACGGTGCTTTTTCCCCTCCTGCTAAGCAAACAGGCTCAACCCCGGGCTCCCCGGCCACTCCAGCACGGCCGGACCCAGGCAGGCAGCAGCCAGGACGGATGCTGGGCTCCATAATCACAGCTTTTCCCAATGCTGTGCTCTTCCTGCTCACCTGCAGCAGCCTGTTCCTGCCCAGCAATCATTAACCTAACTCTGCCTGCATCTGTCCCCTGACAAAAAATGGCAGCGAGCAGGACCCCAGCAAAAAGGTTTGTCCCCACACTCCCACCCTGCTGGGATGCTGGAGCCTGAAATGCAAACCCCTGCAGCCCCACTGCCCCTGGGACGGGCAAACACAGTGAGCCACCTTCCACAGGGATGGCACAGCAAATGCCAGAGCTGGGGGCTGGAAATGCTTTACCTCCTGCCAACTCACTTTGCTGGTCAAGTGCTTCCGTGGGACTGGAGGGCAGCTGGGAACACCCCTCCTTTCTGCCTCCACCTCGCTCCTGACCAAGCTGGAAACTTATTTCCTCCCTCAAACATAAAAATTACCCTCCACTGAGATGAGTCAGAGCAGAGAGGATAAAAGCAAAGAGGAAAAGTGTTTTAGGGAAAGTGGCAGTGTGCAGAACCACTTTGAGTCCCGGCTCAGCAAGGCAGCAGGAGGTGCTGGGGCTGACACCGTCAGTGCTGAGCTCGGCCTGGGGCTGCATATTAAATTTTTTGGGTAAAAGGTTCATCGGTCCTCTGAGCTGCCGGGAAGAGGAAGGTGCTTCCTGAGGCAGCCCTCGCCCAATCCAGGATGGGGAAGAGGGGAGCACTGAGGGAGGAGAGATCCCACCCGGAGGCTTGGCAGGGGTGCAGAGGCATTTGCAAGGCGGGGGGCTGCAGGGTGGGAGGGGAGTGGTCCTGGACTGGCTCCGGGGCACACACTGCTCCCTCCTTGGAGCCCTTGGAGTGCTGCGATGGGCTGGATGGGGTCCTGCTTCCCCTGCCCTGTGTCATGGAGGGCACCACTGCCGTGCTGGCAGGAGCCTCTTGCCCGTAGGTGATCAGGACAGGCTTTCAGGGGGCAGAGTTCGGCCCTGACCCCCCTGAGAGTCCCCCCAAAGCCCTGTTCCTGCAACTGGTCCCTCCCATTGCCACTGCCGGGCAGGGACACCCCCAGGGCACAAACCTCCCCCCGCCCGCAAACAGGGACCCTCTATCTCCACCTCCCGGGGAGAGAGGACCCCCATCCCCACACCTACAAGATCTGGGCACTCCTGGGGCAGGGGCTGGAAGGTTCAGCTGGAGCTGATGCCTTCTTCCCTCTTCCCCGTTTCGCCGCCGCTTCCTGGGCGCGATCGCAGCAGCGGAGGAAGCGGGCGGCCCCCGGGAACCCCCCCGACCCATCTCGGTCTCCCCCGGGTGGGTGCGCGAACCCAAACCTCCAGCCCAGGCAGGGATTGGTGGGTCCATCCCTTCTCACCCAGCGCTGCCTCCCACCTTGCCGGCCAGCTCGTAGTCTCGGGGCGACGCCGGAGGGTCCCCTCTGCCTGTCGGGGGTTCCCCGCTCTCCTCCGGGGGGGTCCCGGTCCCCGCCACCCCGCCGGGGCCGCTCATGGTGCGCCCGAGTGGAGCCGCCGAGTCCCGACGCCGCGGGACCAGCGGCAGCCGCGGCCCCACCCGCCTTCCTCCTCCTCTTCCTCCTCCTCCTCCCCGGCCAATGCCACCCCCGGCGGCCTCCGTGCCCAGCCCGGCCACGGGATGTAGAAGAAGCTGAAGGGTGGAAACCTGCCGCGCTGCACCCGCACACCGGGGACCCCCGGGGCGCTTGGGTTTGCCAGGGGCTGCGCTGCACTGGCCGGCGGGCAGAGCACTGGCGCATCCCTCCGGGGACATGGATGGGGAGACGAGGAACAGCTCAGCCCACAAATGAACAGCCCCCTGTCCCCCACGGGGTGTAGGGATGGAGACCATGGTGCTGCCAGGCCGGGACAGTGGGGGTGGAAGCTCCCACTCGCACCCCAGGGTGGGAGGTTTGCCCCACCCGCGGCAGCCCCAGCCGTGCCGGGCCGGGTGAGCACCAGGGTGCAGCAGAGCCGGGGGGAAGCGGCAGCACTGCCGTTACGCGGAAGCCGCGCTCTGTGTCGAGCCGGTTCCTGCATCTCAGCCTGGACGGCTGCCACACCTCCCGCTCCCCACGGCTGCTCACAGCCCCCCGCATCCTACACCAGCCATTGGGACGCGGCTCACAGCACACTGTGTTTGGGAAAAGCCCACACATGGGAATGGAAGAGAAGTTCCTGAAGAGAGACAGGGATGTTGTGTTACCCAAAAACTCTCTTTGTAAAACCCCATCCAGGTCCACACACTACAGCTGCCCAACGTCTTCAACCTTATGGGCACAACTCCACGGACAGGACCCTTGAGCTCCCTCTCATCTATTTTCCCTGGGATACCCAGCCCATCTATCCCATGCCAGGGCAAACCTCAGGCCAACCCCCATCCCTGCTCATGCCACTGGGATTCAGGGGTGCAGGGCTCCAGTGCAGAGCCGTGCCCCTCGCTGCTCTCGGGGTGAAGGCCACACGTGGCTGCAGGAGGTCTGATGGCAGAGATGCCCTCTGTGACGGCACCCGCCTCTGCACCTTCCCGGGACACCGGCCCCGGCTCCAGCCAAGCCTTCCTCGGCCCCTCAGGAAATAGAACCTGTATTTCCAGTCCTGTAACTGCGCTCAGACCCAGCTGGGGGATTTATAGTTTATATATGCTCTTTGGCCAGGAAAGTGCCCAGAGCTGGAGGCTGGAGGCACTCGGAACTCCTGGAAGTGGCTGAGCTTTCCTGCAGCTTGCTGGGAAAGGGGCTGGAGGGATATGGCAAACCGTGCTGGAGCTCATGGAGTTGCCTGGGCAGGAAGAATGCCTGGCTGAGCATGACTTCCACCTGCTGGCATTTGCTGCAGGAGGATCAAGACAGCCAGGAGCCAGCAGAGATCAGTAGTGTGGCTGAGCCTCCTCTGCCTGCCCACAGGGATGCCCTTGGCTGACAGACCCCAGGCTGCTTGGCCCCAGACTCCCCACACTGGTACCACATGTTTCCCTGCTTCCTTGGCCTGAACTAGAGTGAAAATCCCTGTGGGTAATAGCATCCCCATGGGTAACAGCCCCTTGCTGAGCCCCAGCCTTGCCATGATGATAAAGGGATGACAGCCTCTCTGGGGTGAGGTCCCAAGCACTGTTCCTGTCCTGACCTCCCTCAGGAGAGGGGACAGGCACATCAGAGCCACTGGAGACCCTGCGGCAGCTCTGCAAATAGCTCTGGATGGCAGCCGAGTGCTTTTCCCAGGCACTGTCACCATCTGCCTGCCTTTTTGTGAGAGCCCTGGGCTGGACACAGGCAGAACACAGGCTGGCATCTCCCTGGCAGAGCAGGGATACTCCAAAAGCAGCCTTCCATGTGTCATGCAAGAGGCTGCACTCAGACGTGGCCCCACAAGTCTTTTGGAATGTGGATCTTTGTCCATCCATCCTTCCAAGCAGTCCAAAGCACACCAACAAACACACAGCCAAGCTGGGCCTCTCATCCAGCAGCAACAAAGCAAATTTTCCAATTCTTTGTGCTTAACACTGCTCAGAATCAAAGATTCATAGATTCTGATTCCCAAATAAAGCTGCTCCTCAGGATTGGTGCACAACACAGGGACCAGGGATTGATCTCTTACCGTAAACCCAATGCCCACAGTGGCGGAGAAGGAGCCAGGAATGAACTTGCCCTGGTCAAACTGGACCAGCAGAGACGTCTTCCCCACGCCACTGTCTCCCACCAGGATTGTCTGCAAGGACCAGGCAAAGATGTGTCAGCACGGGTGCAGGTGATGCTGGAGCCTCCAGGCACAGTGAGCAGCCAGGGGTCAGACATTTGGGGAGGGCCTGTTGGAAAACCTCTTCGGGAGGACTCTGGAGTCACTGGATTAGGTCCAATATTGTTTAGCAAAGAGAGTATCTCCTGCAGCTGCTGCACACAGCTGTAGCCACAGCCACACAGCCTTGCTGGGTCAATGGACAGTCTTTGTGCTGCTTTAATGCTGTGAACCCACAGCACTCCCCCCCAGAAGGCTGCTGTGTTTAAACTCATGGCACCCCTCTGCCTCTCCAGCCCTCCATGGGAAGTCCCAGGGCTCTCCCATGGGGAGCAAGGCTGGCTTGTCCCTAAGCAGGAGGGATGAGGGAGCTCTGCAGGTGTCAGAGCTGAGGCCATGCTGTCACCTTCTGAGAACAGCCAGCCCTTGGTCCTGGTACCCACAGTGCACCCCTGAGGAGCCAATCTTCCCTTCTGCTTCCATCCCTCCAGATCCTTGACCTAAGGGAGACCTGCAGTGCAAACACAACACCCTCCCTCCCCTCTGCTGGTGTCTGGGTTTTGTTCTCAGAGCCACTGGCACAAACATTCCCATCCTTTCAGGAAACAGAGGCACTTTCAACCCTTTCGCAGGGACACAAGTTAAAATAAACACTCTCCTAACAGGCTTCTTGCTCAGAAGTGGATTTGGCTCTGTCTTTCAGGACATGGGTGTTCCTGTAGATGTAGTTCTGGAAAACACTGAGTGTCCCCTCTGTCACCAGGATCCTGTCACCCCTGAGGATGCAGGGCTGATCCAACGAGGTACTGGGGTGGAACCTCCCCAGTTTCTGCGTCCACCTCTGCTGCAGCTGTTGTTTCCCCCTTTGATTTGTGTTTAGTCCAATGCAGCTCCAGCATCCCATTCTCCATCCTGGGACACCTCAGCCCTTCATCCCCATGCTGGAAGCTGCTTCAGCATCTTCCCAACATCCAGAGGAGCCTCTGAGCATGGCTGATCCCATTCCTCCACCGCCTCCCCTGCCCTGAGATGCCCTGGGGTGTAACCTACCCTGGCACCACTTCAGGCACTGTGTGTCCCCCTTGTGAAGTGCAGGATGAGCGTGAAGGAATGTGTTTAACCAGGTGCACAAACAGCCCTGGCAGATCAAGGCCTGATTCCATGCCCTGGGAGGCCATGAGGGTTCCGGACACCGGGCACATGCCACAGCACCCAGCACCGTGGTTCCTGCCATCCCACAGACCCCAAGGAAGTGACCTGAAGCCAAAAGCCAAGGAGCTTGAGGACCACAAGCAATGCAGGAACGTGGTCTGGCAGGAGACCATCATGCTGCCTTGCATAAAGCGCTGCCCCACAACCTGCCTGGAGCCTGTTCACCACGACACGCTTCAGTGAACACTCGCTGCGGTGAATGAGCGCTTTCCCATGGAAAAAACATCCCAAACACCAAACATCTCCTGGGAAAAGCCTGACCTGACAAGTGGAGCTGTTGGCAGGAGGGAGCCTCTGCTCCCTCTGCCAGATGCACGAGGCTGCACAGACCGGAGTGCTGAGAGGCAGCAACCTGCGTCCGGATCCGCAGCCGGAGATTTCTCCCCCCTCCCTAACTAGGCTGTTTGCAGGTCACTTGTACATTCAGAGCAGCCTCGTGAGCTCTGAGCCTGCACGGGAGCTGGGGGGGTGTTGGGAGGCAGAAATGTCTGGGCAAAGCCCTGGCACGTGGGTCAGAGGAGCTGGGTCATCCCTGTCCCTGAGAGAAATTTCTCTGTCCAAATCCCCTTTGGCTTTGCCCTGGGGCCCAGAACCTTTCCCCTGTGCAGAGATCAGAACATGCCTGAGAGCAGCCCCACAGGAAAACACTCCAAGAATTCATTACCATGCAGCTCCTGCACTCCAGTCCTGCATTTTTTTGGGCTACATACTATTTCCAGACAAAATACTAGTCCTGGGAGGTGCAACAAGACTGGATGCAGCCTGCAGTGCTGTCTTTGGGAGCCATTAATGCAGAGAAGAACATTAATTATGGAGGGAGGAGAGCTGGCTGGAATGAGCACCAGAAAGCCTCCAGAGCCCAAGGTTTACAGAGTACATGTATAAAAGGCAGATTCCCCTATTAATATTTTAAATGGGATTTATAATAGAGACAACTCATGAATTGCTTCATGACTTAATCATAATAGTAAAAGTTGGCCTGGATCAGCCAAGAGATATTCCTAACGACTTTAGGAAAAGCTCATGGGGTCTGTGGAGTGACTGCACAGTGGAAATCACTGTGACCCTCCTGGCTACCGAATAAACATAACAGAAGAATAGAAACTCCGCTGTGGAGAGGATGTGGCCAGCTCTTGAAACCTCAGGCTGGATATGCCTGAGTCATGATAGCAAAAAGTCTCCCAGTGACAAAGTTCTGTACCTGTCCTACCTTTTGCCCTCATCCTGAGCCACAGCCTGGTCTCCTCAGCACCCCCTCAGCCACCCAGGTTTTCCCAGGTTTTTTACTTTGTCTGGAAAGCTTTGGTAAAATGTTACAAGATTCCTTTTGGTCCTTCCTGAAAAGACCTGTCTGCCTGCTCTTCCTTAGGGAAAGAGAAAATATCCCTCCCCACACCTTGAATTAGTAGTTTTGTGGCTAAATCAGACCTAGATGAATCACATCCAGTCCAAATCTTTGCTGGCTCAGCATAGTCTGTAGGGACAGGGCAAAGCAATGGAGTGGTGAGGGCAAACCTATTCTAACTTCCCCTCCCCGTGCTGGCAGACAGTGAGCAAAGGAGGTATTTTGGCCTAACCTGCTGAGGGAAGATGAGTTTACACGGCTGTCAGGGCAGCACAGGGAGGCAACTGCTGCATTTCCAGTGCCAGCCAGGCCAGAGGAGATCTGGGACAGAGTGTGTGGGTTGGAGTTGTCTTCCCAGTTCATTGCTGAGCTTTAGCATGTGGTACCTGGACCTGAGCTAAATGTAGCTAGTGGAAGCCTGACAGGGTAAAGCCCCAGTCAGGGGGGATGCTGGGAGGGTGGAATTGCCCTCCACGGGCTCTGCTGTTGCTCTCAGAGAGCACCTGAAGGCCCAAACACAAAGGTTTGTGCTCAGGTGAGCAGGATTTATCACAACAAATTGTGGTAAAGGTGTATGTGCACCCCAGCACAGCTGCCTGCAGAGCTCAGATGGGACATGGCCCTGGGAGAGGTCTGACAGTGAAGCTGTGGCTGCTTTCAACCCCTCACTCTCAGGGGCTCTCAGAGGTGCATTTCTGAGACTTATTTTTAACTCCTCTCCCCTTCTCCAAGCAATGCTCCAGGACAATTTGGGTGCTGCTTGAAGCTGTCTTGTGCCACAGGAACACTCCAGGACTGTCTCCACCTGCCCAGGAATTATTTCACCATGGTCAAGACTCTTACACTGGCTTGAGACAGAGCCCAGGGCCCTTTGCCAGCCTGGCTGAGCCCTTGCCCTGGTAGAGGCTTTATTTCAGCCCTGCAGACATGAGCTCTAGAGCTGTGCATCAAACAAAAGCTGGCTCAGATCACGCAGGAGATCCCTGTTTGCAAACCCCCTGCTGACACCTTGGATCAACAACAGCCAAGGAGCACATCCTCTGCCACTGGGGCTTGTTCCAGTTAAATGGATCCAAGAATCCCACAAGAGGAAGAATGATTTGGCAATGGGTCAAACCACCTGAAAGCAGGACTCAGCATTTGGTGTCGAGTGAAACTTTTCTGGAACAGCCCAGAACAAACCTCTCCTGTTCCCTCTTTGGTTTGCTCCTGACCCGTTTCCTCCCCAGGCCTGGGTTTAGCCACCGACCAGAAAACACTTAACCTTTGTCTCCAGAGTGCAAAGCTCTCTGGGGTTTCTCAGCACATCTGAAATGTGATTCCTTGTGCAGACACAAGATCTAGTGAGGTATTTGCTGCCTCACACCTCTGAAGTGAGAGCAGACTTGTTTTTGCAAGATTAGCAACCCAGCCAGGAAAAATACCAAGGGAAACAGCAGGGAACAAGGGACTGGGATGGTTATTTGCCTGGGCAGCTCTTCTGCCCAGAGACTCATTTCCACCAATGTCATTCCTTAACAGCAGCTCATTGCTGGAGAAGAGAGAGTTAAGGCTCCTCAAAGAATCCAAGTTTCTCCAGTCATCCCTGGAGGCACGTCCTACGTACTCCATGTACAACAGAAATGAGAGCTGATAGTAACTGATATTTTTCTGCTAATCAAGGGCTGGGCACATTGCCCTGAGTACAGCAGGATACAGAACAGACTGGCATTTGTAAAGAGGGATCCACGCAGCCCCAGCCCTTTCCCCTGCCTTGCCCCATCCCTATTTTTCCCCTGCTCCCCAGGGGGTGCCAATCCCTGCACAGTCACTGGGGACTGCAGCAAAGCAGCGTGAGGACAGCAAGAAGAATTGGTGGGTGGATCTGACAGAGATCAGTGTCTTTTCCATGACTTCAGAGGAGTTGCAGGGCAGTGTCTGACTGCAGGGAGCAAAAGCCCTGCTCCTGCTGTCCCCGCAGCAGAACCTGAGCTCCCCAGGTCTTGCGGGGACAGCAGCAGCCCCGACCACCCTCCGTGCAAGTGGAGTTACAAAACACAGTGCCAGGAACCCTGCAGAAGAGGGTTTCAAAGGAAGGAGGGCAGGAATGGATGTCTCTCGGAACACAACTATTTCATAGCAGGGAAGTCCCGACTTCCTGACAAACAGAGCCCCGGGATTCAGCTCCTCCGACCCACCCTGAGCCCCAGCCTCTCCACAATGACCCACCCTGAGCGCGCACAGGACAGCGGGAGCGGCTGAAGGGCGGCTGCGGGCTGTGCCGCGGGGCTGGCCCCGTTCCAGCGCTCCTGGCTTCCCAAACGTGCCGAATCCTGACCCCCCACTAGTCCCCACCGTCACCCGGGAGGTGGCTGGGACCAGGGCCAACCCCTGCGGGCTGTCCAGGCCCGGGAAGGAGAGAGAGCTGCAGCCGCATCCCCTCACTGCCGCGCCGGGATGGGAGGTGTCGGACGGACCTCACCGGGGGACGAGGAGCGAGAAGCGGAGAGCGATGCAATTTTTCCACAAGTGCAATTAGGCGCCCTGCCCTGTATCCCCCCACTCCCGTGAACTCTGCAGCCCCATCCCTGGTCCCCCCCATCCCCATCCCCATCCCCATCCCCATCCCCATCCCCATCCATACCTTGTGCAGCAGCGCCTCGTTGTATCCTTCCCCCCCCGGGCCGGCGGCGTAGGACCCCATGGCCGGGGGGGATCGGGGGGCACCGGGCAGGGCCGCCCCTGCAGCACCGCGGACAGCGCCCGGCCCTGCTCAGCACCGCGGGCAGCGCCCGCCCCGCTCGGGACCGACCGGCCCGGCTCGGCCCCGCAGCCCCGGCCCGGTTCGGCACAGCCCGGCCCCGCTCGGTCCCCGCAGAACAGCGCAGCGGTGCCCGGTGCTCCTCGCCGCCGCTCGCAGGGTTCCCCCGCCCGGGGAGGCTGCGGGGCGGACGCGGGGGGCGGCCGGTCCCGCCCGGGGGCGGGGAGGCGGTGGGAGCTCCCCCCACGCTTGCACAGCCCGCCGGTCCCTCTCCCCATCTCCGACCACCGTGATGGAGCCCCCCGGCTCTGCAGATCCCGGGGCTCCGTCCTCGCCACCGGGAATCGCTGCCTTTCCTCCCTCCGCTGCAGGAGGCGCCCACGGGGCACGGTCAGCCCTGCACCGGCTCGGATCAGCCGCCGAGCTGAGAGCGCGGAGCCAGGTCCGCTGCACTGCTCCAGCCCTGTGCCCGCACCGGGGCTGTGCCGGCTGACGCCCCTCCAGCTGCCAGCCCACGCAGATTTTGGCTGTCCACGGGTAGGGGGAAGCACAGAGCTGCGTGGTCACCAGGGTGTCACCCCAAGGAGGGGCAGCAGCTCGTGCTAGCCAGGTGATTGCAGCTTCTTTACCAAACTGCTGCTGAGCCTGATCACCCCGGCAGGTCCCCTTTGGAATCCCACTGCATTTACAGGGCCCAGTTAGGACCCTGCTTGGAGTGAAAAACAAATTGTATTTAGAAACAGGAAGAATCTGTGCCTAAACCTGGAGGTGACAGCTGATATCTCATTGAGATCTCTTCTTTACAACTCCCTTTAGAGCAATCTGATGTTGCTGATTGCATTGGAAATAAACTAATCTTTACCGAGAAGTTTATTTAAGAGAAATTCAGTCTCCAGCTCCCTTCTTCCAGATAAGCAGATGGCCCTAAGCCAGAGGAACAGACCATGCTTCCAAGAGCCATCTGCACCTGTCCGATTGCTGTTTGACTGCCTGGGCCTGACACTGCTAATTATATCTGCCCATTATTTCCTCTGACTGTAGAGACGGTTCTGCTGGGTCAGATGATCTGACTTGGCAAACAACAGCCAGAAAAAGTGAAAAACAACTCAGAGGGATGGGGTGTTTCAGGCTCGCCTGAGGACAAGATGCCCAACCCAACCTGACACAGACAATTGTGTAGCCAGACCACCCACTGGCCTCGTGCACTGGAAGACAATCAATAGCACAAAAATAAATTATATCATGAGCCCCAGAGTCTGGATCAGATAATTGACAAGTGGTGCAACCAACACTGTAGTTCAACATAGTGCACACACTCCACAACAAGTAGGGCCAGGAAGACAAAAACAGCAAATCTCAGGGTGGCTTCAACAAAGCCAAAGCACTTCTGTTCTTTTAATGCACCAAGACCATGCTAAAACTCTCGTGGATGTCAGCACAATCCTTTCCAGGGGCCACAGAGACCCCAGAGACCCAGGTCTGCTGCAGACACCGTGCAGCTTTGCCCGGGGCACCCAGGCTGTGCTGGTACTCAGACAAACCTCTCCCAGAAGGTGGGATGAACTTTACCTCCAGTGAAGAGGAGAGTAACACCCCAACAGCCCACCAGCTATGAGGCTCCAGACCTGCTTATCCCAGGATGGGAATATCTGGCAGCTCCCTGCTGCAGGAGAGGTTCTGGGGCTCAGAGAGCATCCTCTGACCCTTCTCAGCTCCAGCAACATTTGCTTCCTTTTCTGAGTCACAAAGGAGAGCAGAGAGGAGCTTGTGCTGAGCTAGAAGAGCCTCACAGAGCCAAGCTGTCCAGTCCCTCTGCAGGCACTGGCGTTGCACCAGAGACACACTTGGCCCTGCACGTTTAATTGCACTCAGGAGGAAGACAGTTCTCCTATCTATCATGATATCGCCAAGTGTAATACAGCCTAATGAGACAACATAGATTGCTGGCAAAGACAGGCAGCAGCACAGCCTGGCGCCGCTCCAAGGTCTTTATCCCACTTTATGGCTCTGGAGGACCTGACCCGTCACAGATAAGTGCTATCAGCAGCTTTATCAGAGCCCAGCAGTCCGACACCTGCATCACCGCCTCCCCTCACACACAGAAGAATGCATTTCCCCCACCATCCAGAGCAAACCATTTACTCTCCCAGCTTCCCCTAGACCCCAAAAGGGGTCCCTGGGCGCCAGCGAGCAGTTTATAGCCCTGAGCAAGATCTGACCAACTGAAGTCAATTCAGAACAACGAAATGAGAGGAAATGACCTGCAAACGGCAGGAGTGATTCCAAATGAACCGGCAATTTAGCTCCATTGTTTGTTCTGTTTACTGGTAGACTGTATCTCCGATAGCCTAATTACTTGTGTATTTACCTTGAGAAGAACAGCTCTAACAGTGGAAGATTTAAATCCAGCTCAGGAGTTTCTTCTGTACTCCTTCACTGTACTCCTCCTTGCTCCTGCTGTTCTCTGCTGCCCAATCCCATTAACCTACTGTAGTATCTCCCTGGAGTCCATGTACAACACTTTTTGAAGAAGATCAGGCCTGCTGAAGTAATTCCTACCCCATGAGCCAGGGAGAAATCAGAATGTCATCCTCTGAACCCACACAGCATGGATTCTTGATTTCCTTGCAATAAGTAACCCCTACTTTAGTGGTTTCTGGCTGAGTCCAGCCTAAGGTACAGTTCAGAGTAAATCCTCCATGTCCACAAAATGCACAAGTATTTTTTGCCAATTTTACTGGCTTTGCTAAATCAAGAGATCTGGGAATGATCTGAACTTATCTTGGTTATCTGAGATGGCAGCGGAAAGGAGAGATCAGACAGTGCCTGCTCAATCAGCCAGCACTAAAGGAGCTACATTAGCAATTATTATTCTCAGCCTTATCTCCTAAGGACAATTTCACCAAACTTGCTGAATCTGCCCAGGAAAGAACAGACTGACACTACCTGATTATTTTTCAAGGGTCCTGGATTAAATAACAGAATCAGGATTTGGAAATGTCACTGAAGAACAGAGCAGAAAGGACTCTGGAAAGGCTCAGTCGTGGCAATGCGTAATACGGTGGGATGGGAGCTGAGGAAGATCTTACAGAATCACAGAATATTCTGGGTTGGAAGGGACCCACAAGTTGGTGTTGGGCCCTCACTGACTGACTCAATTACTGCCTGTCCCAGGAGCATTTTGAGCCTTTTCCTTAGGGCCAATTCCAGAGACTAAACCCGGATCCAGAATCTTGTAGAACTGGGGCAAAAGCAGCATCTGGCGGTGTCGTGCCTTGTCTCATCTCTGCTGGGCAGGGGCTGAGGGCTCTGCCCACAGGCGGGCACGGGGCAGAGGCTGCAGGAGGGCAGGTGTCAGCTCACCTCATCTCCTGCTGCCGTGCTCACACGTCGCCAGCGATCGCGCTGCAGGGGCTCCTGACACACTTTGCTCGCTGACACGGCCACTGAGCCGCGCCCGAGTGCTCCATCCAGCCCCGCGTGTGGCCGAGGCGAAAAGACAAGCTGATGTGCTCCTGTCAGGATGCATCAGTGGGATTCCAGAGGAGTGTTTCAGCAGTGCTTCCTCTCCCACAGAATAGCCTTGCCTTGTGCTTCCCGGGCCACTTGCTGCCAAAAGGGAGAGGTCTTGGCTCACAGGACCCTGACACCTCTGCAGGTGGCTGTGTTAATTTATCCCCCGGGCTATCTGGAGCACCCCAGCACTTGTGCCCTGGCTGAAGGGTGTTGGGAGGGCTCTCTTCAGGGCTCTCCCCATTTTAGGCAACGTGACTCCTCATCACGCTCTGCTGCACTGTTTTCTGCCTGGATTGCTCTACTCCCTCTCGGTTTTCATTTTAATTGGAATAAATATCACAGCCCCTCAAGTGACAAAGACTCCTGTGTCAGCACTCTGGGATTTCTCACTTCTGCCTACTCCCATCTTGCTCTTCCCCTCCACGAGCACGTTCACACGCTGCTGAGTTGGTTGGGGCTGAGGCACAGAACTGGAGCCATTCCCTTTGCAAACCCCCATTGACAGCTCAGCCAGGGCCCTCAGCTCCTTACCCTGCAGCTGAGAGGAGAAATATCAGAGTAAAACCCCACATGGGAGTCGCAGTGTTGATGCTGGGGGGCTGTAATCACTGCAGTATCCTCGGGGCGGGAAGGAAACCTGCCTTCAGTCACTGAAATGGAGTCAGTGGGGTAACACAGTCCTGGGAACTGCTGTGATGGGGAGGAAGTGGCCCCGGTCTGTGCTGGGGGTCCAGCCCCTGTGCTGGACTGGGCAGCTTCTCATCCTTTCCAGAATCAAACATGGAACAGAGAAAGGGAAGGGGAAATGACGCCTCACATCTGGTGGTGAGGTGATGGAGATGACGCAGCATGGATGTGGCCAGAAAAGTTTCCCAGAAACATTACCAAAGTGGCTCTTTGAAACAGTGCTTCTGGCTGCTTTCGGGTAACTGAGCTGCCCTCGAAATCCTCATTCAGTAAAGGCCTTTGTAGGCACCTTCCCTGTGCACATTCCATTCGGAGCCTCTACCTCTGAGCCGCTTCTCCCAGTCCTCCTCCTGCTCCAAGGGAAGGGTGGGAAGGACTCACTGTGTTTTGCCAAGCAGTGGCAGGGGTGCACACCCAAGGAAGATGAAGTGGCTGAAGCCTCATCTGCACAGCCTTTGTGGGAAGTTTCTCAGCAGAAAGCAGGTTTGCCATCTCCAGCTACTTTCTTGAATTTAGATCTTGCTGTTACTTGCAGCATCTTGGCTCACAGCCAACTAGATGGAAATGAAGGGGTTATATCGTGATCAAAAGGAATACTCAGAGCTTCCTCTTGCCATGATGAGGGACAGAGAGGGAAGGGGATGCTGGAGGTTTGTGCTTTCTACTCTTTCCAAGGGGCAAAAGGGAAGAAAGCCATCAGCAAGGCAGCTGCCAGGGAAGAGGCCTTGCTTTTTGTGTTTGGGTTCCCGAAACTTTTAGTGGAAGCATTTAAAACACCATTGTCACTCAAAACCCCCAGGCTGTGCCAAAGAAGGTGGTTTGGGTAGGAAAAGAGGCATTTCTGCTTGAGAAAACAAATAAAAGCAGCCCAGCCCACACTGGCAGCCTGCTCTGGAGCCGGGGAGCAGCAGTGCAGAGGGATGGTTGTCCATCATCCTGCTCTGTCATCCCAGTCCCTCACAGCTCCACAGGGGCAGACCTGCCTTCACTCTACCCCATCCCTGCATCCCTGATCTGGCCTGGACCCCCTGCAAAGCCCCCCAAAGACCTTTGGGCTCTCTGTAGGGAAAGAGGCTGTGCTCCCCACTGGGATGGGCATTGCAGCAGAGGAACCTCCTGCATTTTGGCATTTTGCTGGGAACCCAGTGACTATTTCACAGGAAAAACAGAGTCTCTCTCATGAAACACCCCAGGGTGAGTCATATAGGCCTGGGTGAAGGGGAAGAAGCAACTAACTTAAAAAAGACATCCAGGGTCATCTGTGGGTAAGCACTGCCCAAAGAAGTGACAGGAGAATAAGGCTTGGGAAACTCCTGGGACACACAAGTGAATGTGGAGCTGTCTCTGTCCTACAACGTTCTTCATGACTAACCACGGGGGAAAATCCACACTGGGAGCAAGAAGCTGGAAAATGAGGATTTTCTTGGTTTGGACCCTTTTCCCAGGTGAGAGCCAGGAACACAGGTCAGGCAATTCCATCTCAGGGGTTCTGGCAGAGCTGTGGAGAGGCTGGGGCCAGACCAGACCAGGATGGTCACCATGGTCACAGCAAGAGCTGATCCTGACCTGTTCTTGTGGCAGTTATGGGGGGTGATCTCTGAGATGTGCTTCTACTGCTGCCATGTGAACCCTGGGAATAAGGCTTTTTACTCTTTTAATAACACACAACCTTCATGGGGGCTCTTTTTTTCCTAAATGGGGACATCTCCTCTCAGCAGAGCTCCCTGGCACAGCGGGTGCACAGACACAGCCTCCCTCAGGATTGGGTGCCCCCAAGAACCCTGGGCTCAGATCCTTCTTGGTTCCCCAAGGCACTGCCAGGATGTGTTTTTAGCGCCTCTTCCTGTCCCCCACAGGTGTCTGGGCAGTGACAGGCCCCAAGCAGGTGACAGTTGACCAAGGCAGCTCGCTGGCAGTGTCCTGCAGCTACGAGCCAGGCTACAAGCTCAATTCCAAGTACTGGTGCCGCCAGAACTCCCTGCGGTTTTGCTTTGCCCACATCATCCAAACCAGTGGCTCGGAGGTGATGGTGACACAGGGCAGGGTGTCCATCAGGGACAACCACACGGCACACTCCTTCACGGTGACACTCAGCGGTGTCACGCCAGGGGACGCAGGACAGTACTCCTGTGGGGTGAAGAGGAAACTGTGGTTCAGCACATCCCACACCACCAGGGTGATGGTCTCTGCAGGTAAAATGGGGCTGGAAGCAAAGCTGGCAGTAACCCCCTTCTTTTTCCTCCTCCACAGCACCCATGGCATTGCTGGATAGCCCCATCTCCACCTCCTGCACCTCCATGGCTGAAGTTTCAGGGCAGAAACCCCTGTGCAGGGGGCAGGACAGGGGGTGTGTGGGGTGGGTGTCCACTTTACTCTGACTCTGTTTCCTTCGCAGCTGCTTCAACTTCAACCGAGGGCAGCAACATGGGCCTGCTGACCAGCAACACTCTGGGCTCCAGTGGCTGTAGGAAACCTCCAGTGCTGTGAGTAAGAGATTGGGATCTGGGCAAGTCCCCAGCAGCATCCCCTGGCCAAAACCATATTTTTCCCTGCATGCATCTCCCAGCTGTGTCCCTCCATTGCAGCAGCCCCAGGGAGCATCCTAGGGGCAAGCAGGGCAGCTGGCAGACATGCCAGTGCCCCAGTCCTCATCCTCACTGCACAGACCCTACACAGGCTCTAGCATAACCTCCTTTCTCCATGCAGGTCCCAGCTCAGTGTCGCCCACCTGCTGCTCCTCCTCAGCTTGAAATTTCTCGTAGCCCTGGCCCTGGTGTGTGGGGCAGCCTGGATGAGGAGGCGGTATAGGAGCTGCAACCAGGAAAACCAACAGCTGTTTGAGGCCTCCAGCAGCACCAGGACACCAGGCTGCCAACCTTCTCTCCCAGCCGACCTCAGAGCCCCAGGGACGCCCTCCTGCCCCCTCCCCCCTCACCCTGCTGGGGCCGTGCCACCCATCACGGCTGCCCCATGCCACAAGGTGCTCGGCTCCCGGTGATTCTCCCACCCTGTGAAGACCCTGCCCTTCCTGGCAGCCCCAGTGCTGGAGAGGGGAGGGTTTGGGGTGCAGAGAGCCTGTGTTTGCTGAGCTGGAGCTACCAAATGAAGACAATTTTGCAATAAAGCCTTGGTATTCTGCAGGGGCCTGTCTGCCTGTCTGTCTGTCCACCTGCTCCTTCCTTCAGCTGCCAGCACGGCCCAGGGTGCCTGTGGCTGTCAGTGCTGATGCACACACTGTGTGGGGACACGCTGCATTGTGACTGGGAGGGACATGGGAGCACAGGGGCAATGGGGGCACCTGATCCACCATCACTCAGCTGAGCCCTGTCCTGGGGAGAGGAGCCCTCAGCCCCAGGAGCCTCAGGCCTGCCAGCCCTGTCTGATGCCACCAAATGCCCATCTCCAGCTGAGCAAGAACCAGGGATGAGTGTCCTTCCACAACTGTCCCTACCACAACTGTGGGGCTCAGGGGGTCCCTGTGCAGTGCTGAGCCAGCCCTTGAGAGGCAGGTCCCCCGCCAGGTGCTGTGCCTGGCGAGAGAGGCTGGGCAGTGTGGCAGTAAGAGGCAGAACTGTGTCCTGCCATGGGGGCACAGCAAGTGCTCGCAGTGAGCAGGCAAGGCAGGAACACAGCTGACAGGAAACAGGAAACCCCACACTCTTGCTGAATGTCCAGCAGGAAGAGTAGTTAGTATTCCACACAGAAGAGGAAGCGAAGCCCCAGAGACACAGAGCAGAAGCAGCAGTAGGGCTGCCCTGACTGTGGCCCAGGCTACCCTGTCCATGTGGCTCCTGCTGCTGCTTGTCTGGGCATGGCTGCCAGGTAGGGCTGAGGGGATCCCTGGGGCCAGCCTGGATCATCCGATGGGCTGGGAGGTGTCGGTGTGGGGGCAGCACTCTCACGGCTCTGTGTGTCCCACAGGCTGTGGGGCAGTGACGGGGCCCGGGACTGTGCGGGGATACCTGGGGGGGTCCCTCTCAGTCACCTGCACGTACCGGCCTGGCCTGGAGAAGAAGCCAAAGTTTTGGTGCAAACCAGGAACAATCCTTACTTGTGCTGAGGAAATCATCATCACCTCGGAGTCACAGCCTGTGGTGCAGAAGGGCCGATTCTCCATCCGGGATAACCGCACACGCCGGGTGTTCACAGTGACCGTGGAGGATCTGGCTAAGGAGGATGCAGGAATCTACCTCTGTGGGGTGCGAACCGCAGTGTACCAGTTTGATGAGAGTGCTTATGTGAAGGTGATCGTGTTGCCAGGTGAGTACTTGTTGGTCCCCCAGGTCCAGCCCTGATGTGTCCCCGTCCAAGTACTGGGAGCAAAGGCTGCAGTAGGGGCAGTCCTGCAGGTGATAGGTGCCAATGCCACTACAGTGCAGTAGGTGCCACCATCACCCTCTCTCCATGCCCAGATCTCCCCACAGCCCCTTCTCAGTGCTCCAGGATCAGCCACCTCCATTGCTGGGATGTACCACCTTGCTCTCTGTGCCTCATTTTCCCTCTCATTAGATCTTGCTGTCTCTGTCTGTGCCGTCCTCGCCTTACTGCAACACAGTGGGGAATTCCTCACCCCCCTGTGCTGCCCCATTTCCCACCTGAGACAAGCAGTGCCTTTGGGCACCAGGCCCTGGGCTTCAGGAACATCCCTCCCCACTGCCTTGCCAGGTAGGACACATATGTGGAGTTGTTGTGTTATACTGAATGATGCATGGGGTACCCAGACCTCCTTTCTGCAGGGTGAACTATTCTGTTTTGTGCATGTTTTGAGGGGGAGCAGGACTGTGAAAAGCCCCTGGGCAGTAGTAGGGTCTTACAGCCTTCCCACCTCAAGGGGTGTCCTTTAGCTGCTCCCTGTGTGACAGTAAGTGGGTCACTTCTGACTCACTGAAAAACCCACAGCATTTTTCCCCATGGAGACAGAACAAACAAGCCTCTCCTCTTCTCATTACAGCCACCCCATCACCAACCTCCACCACAAGCAAGCACACTGATCTGACTAGCTCTGTAACACGCCCCACACAGACAACTCCCCAAGGGGGAACTGTGCACTTGACACCAAATCCCTCCAGCAACCAAAGGTGAGTAGCAGCTCCTGCCTACAGCAGCCACGGCCCTCAACGAGATTTCTTTGGTGCAGCTGGAGCCCTGCAACTCTCAGACTCTTCACACCTCTCTTAAGGATCCAGATATCCTGCTTTTGCCTTTAGAGACCACTCTATCTGGAAAAACTCTTCCCTATGAGGCCAGTGAGACACTGGCACAGATTGTCCAGAGAAGTTGTGGATGCTCCATCCCTAGAAGTGTTCCAGGCCAGGCTGGATGGGGCTCAGAGCAACCTGGTCTAGTGGAAAGTGTTCCTACCCATGGCAGGGGATTGGAACTAGGTAATCTTACATGTCCCTTCCAACCCAAAGCATTATATGACTCTGTGACAATAATTCCAATGTCTCTGGCCACATGGCCCCAGAAAAGCCCTGCTTCTCCCCCATCTGTCTTGCAGCTTAAGCAAGACATGAGCTGTTGCCATGGGAAAAGTGGTTTCTGCCTGCAACACTGACCCCATTTCCTTCCCCAAAATCAGAGGCACTGTTTGCTTGTGGGAAACCAAGTGGAGGCCAGTGCTCTGTTCTGCTTTGTAGTCAAACACACAGCCCAGCAGAGATAGTGGACAAAGCATTAAACAGGAGTTGCAGAGCTTCTCTTCTTCCCTCCTGCCTCTGGGAGGTGATGCCTAGCAGGCAAAGCTGAGGCTCCCCATTAGCATGCTCCATGGGTAGCTGGCACGCCAACCTTGCCTGCTTGCCCATTACAAACAAGGTCAACAAATAGCGGAGCTAAACCAGAGCAACATTAGATGCAGGAACCCATCCTTCAACCAGTGAAGACTCAGCAGCTCCTGGACCTCAGTGTCAGTTTGCTTCTGCAGTTTTTGGTTTGTTTTGCTCGGTGCCCAGCTGGTGACCTGACCACCCCAGACCTGCTCTCCTTCCTCCCAGGGAAAGCCCCGTCACCCACAGCCACTTCCTGCAGCCCTGCTCCGTGCTGGTTCCTCCCGAGAAGTGTGAGAACTGAAGCCCTTTTTACCTTGCAGATTGAACGTGATTGAACACATCCTCACTCCAGGCATGGTAGTGGTTCTTCTTTTGCTTGCAGTGGCTGCTGCTGTTCTGGTTATACTGTCCAGGAAGAGGAAAAAGGGTGAGAGAAGCTGTCACTGCCACACACACTCTGTTTCTGCACCAGAACCTGCCTTTGCTTTATTTATTTTTTCTTTTATATTTTTTTTCCTCCCCCATTCCCTTCCTGATCCATCCAATTCCTTGGACCATCACTGAGACCTCCACCGAGGAGGATTCCTTCCCCTGAGGGAACAGTGGGACCATCCCACGGGTCTCATCCCCATGGGAGCAGGGAATAGCAGCCCTAGGGGTGGGTGCTGCTTGGCACAGCACCTACTTGCGTTTGTCTGGGCACCATCAGCTTCCCCAGATGGGCTCACTTGGGTGGGAGAGGCTTGCACTCAGCTTGACACAAAGTTTAAGGCCAGAGTGAAGGACGGGGGGGGGATAGGAAGGGATCTTGCCAGCTGGAAGGTGGGATCTGCCTTTATTTGAAGAACTGCTCCCGTTTAGATGGCTCACAGGGTGACAGGTTCCTTTCCTGCTTTACGGTGAGATTCATGGTGGCAGGGCAGTTTCTTAACTAATTTCTTTTCCTCTGTTTTCACTCATGTCTAGCTACATCCGTGCTCCATCCAGCCCTCTCCGGAGCAGCCATAGAGATGGACAGGACTCGCAGTGTTTCACACACAGTAAGGAAAACCTCATGAGGTCTTGGGATGCCATGCCCTAAGTTCTCCTGGAGAGGGGAAGCGTTACACCCTGAGCTGCCAGAGCCGCTGCTGTCAGCCTGGCTCATGGTACTTTAGGCTGGGAGGGATTCTTTGGGCCCTGCTGGCCAACAGAAAGACACAAACAGGGCTTTTGTGTGACTATCACAGAGTGTTCCTGGGAAGGGAATTTAGGATTTGGGCTGAGAGGTTTGCCCCCAGGCCCCTCCAAGCATGGGAGCTGCTCCTCTGAGAGAAACAGACCTGGGAACCTGCAGCAAAGCACACCTGAGGCAGCAGTGGAGCAGCTGCTCTTTGCCCACTGCTTGGAAAGCGTTTTCTGATTTTCTCTGCCAGATTTTGAGGAGAGGCTGGTGTCACTAACTAGAATTCTCCTGGGGAATGTTGAACCAGCCTTTTCTTCAGGTTTTATTTCCACCCAGTGCTCCTGCAGCCATCAGTCTCGGCACCCATCAGGACAGGCAGCAGGGTGGGACGTGCTCCCACCCCTGTGGATGCAGGCAGCAGCAGGTTAAGAGCTCATCCCTCTCCATCAGGGAGCAGATGCCTTGAATTATGCAGACATTAACCACCACATGGGCACAGCCAAGAGCCAGCTGTACAGCAATGCCGAGGCTTTCCGCAGCCTGGGAAACTCCTCAGTCGAGTACACGGAAATCAGGCACAGTGCTAAGGTAGGAGAATGTCAGCAGTGCTGGGCTGGAGGTGGTGGGGGGAAAGCTGGGGCAGATGGGTGATGGCATGGGCAGTAGGATGGGCTGGGTGGGGAGGGAGGGGTCTGCAAAGGGGCTCGCCAAACTGGGTTGCAAGGGACCATGGATAGTGTGGGTTCCCACTCCAGTCCCCATGGCTGCTCCTGGGTGCTTAAAGTAGCCAAGAGAGGTTCCAGCAGACAGTGTTTCCCTGGAGCAGCCCCACAAGGGATGTTTTTCCTTTATCCCCCTCTTTCCCAGCCTGTGGAAGAGGAAACAGAGGCGATATATGCCAGGGTGCAGAAGCCTGTGCGGCAGCAGGAGCAGATCTACAGCAACGTGCCACCAGCTCCACGGCCCAGCGAGGAGCCCAACAGCAGAGCTGGGGAGGTGTGAGGCAGCACTCGGCCCCATGGGCTGCTCCTGCTGCCAGGAATGCCACTGGGACCTGCACGG